AAAGTGACAACGTGCTGAAGTGATCGTCATCGGTTGGCCATCAAAGTCGTTGTCGCCGTAAACGTCGAAGTCGTCGTCGTCCTCATTGCAAGCACCACTGCCCCTCTCGTCGTCATCCACCAGTCCGCAACCAGTCCGTCCGTCCGCCGGCCAATCCGGCCGTCGCCTCAGACGTGGCGCAACTTATTCATCGAAATCAGGTTTTAAGAAACTGCGACTGCCCCAAAATTAGGCGCTTCTGGCGGAAAGGGTGGGCTACGCCGAAACTTTCTGCAAGTACCATTGGTTCCTTTGAGTTTCATTGTAACGGTGATGAGTATTTAAAAGCTACCCATCGCCGCATCAATTGTTTGTGTGTTGGCATTGCCGAAGCGGACGGCAGCCACCAGGCTACTAGCTACACGTGCCATTTATAAAATGCTCACTCTGGTTGTACTGTTGTGCGCCGTTGGCGGCTGGCAGCTGGCCTATTGCAAAGGTAAGGCTGACTTTTGATTTTTGTTTCATTTTTTACCTGTCGCCTCATGACTTGCATTCGAATGCTCATTTTGTCGGCTGCTAGTTGTTGCGTGTTAGCGTAGGGTGGTGGATGGCTGATGATGCTGATTTCAGAGTGTTCTGGACAACTGTACTTCCACCCGCTGCCCGGAACGGATTCCAGGGAGACGTACGCGTTCAGCAGCGCCACGACCCTGGAAGAATGTGTCGAAACGTGCTTCGTAAAGAATGACTTTTGCTATTCGGCCATTTATGACCCACAACTAGACCAATCGATCCGTTGTCAACTGTCTTACGTTGGTTCGCCGTACTGCAAGCAGAATCTGACCACCCATTACGCGGTCACATACGAACCAGTGACCATCGACTGCATTTGGTGCATCCAAATTCGTGCGTACTTTTCTGTGCACGTGTCATCGCATGAAATTAACCGATGATGATTTAGGAGGCAATGAGTCTACGACCTCGTCGTTACCTGTCTCGGCCATCAGGCCGAAAGGCGAGATGATCGAAGCATCCAGCCCCGACGTCCATCTCTCGACGACCGTGATGACGGAAACTCAAAAGCCGTTTAGGACTTTCCCTTACAACAGTCGGGCGACGAGGTTCAAAGTAACGGAGGCAACAGCTGCTGCTACCACTGCGGCTATACTTCCGACCAGGCACACAGGCACGGCGATTACTTCAACCCTAGGCCAACAGCGGCAAGCTACAACAAGCCGAGTAAGCTCGATCGAGACCAGAACTCGCCCAATGCCATCCACTGCCACGACCCAGAAGTTTCAAGCAAAAGCTGCCGTCAGCTCATCCTCGTCATCCTTAACGATGATCACCGTTCCAACGACGACGACCACGGCAGCTTCCTCCATCGCCGATGCTTCTTTTACCCGCAGTAGCCAGATGCCGAGCCGGTCTACGGCAAGTATTCTGCAGATCGACCAAGACGGCAGTGGAGCACTACCCGAAAGACAGGAATGGCCTAAAACTTTGTCAGCGGAACGCCATCACCACAAGCCGGAAACTACGGTCATCGACGGCAGCGGTGTCTACCCAGGTATGAAAACTACTTTTCGCTTGTTCCCCTTACCGCTTGCGCCCTGGTCGTTATTATT